TAAATTCTCACTAAAATGCTGACAAGTTTTTGTAAGAACCTTTTTAAAATAAATACACTAATTGCTGCAGAAATGTGAAGAACTGAGTTTAAGATTGGAAAACCAAAAACCTGAAAGAAACGAAATTGACAGATCCTTCTAATTCTAGTGGGCTATTTCAAGCAATACCATGCCACCTTCCAGGTTCTAAAAAACCCATGTCTGTCTCCAGACATATGCTGGGGAAAGGGCCTGTCTTTACAACTGTATACAAGTTACTAGATGGGAGTAATAATGGTAGAAAACAGAATGCAAAATCTACCACACAGCTGACAAATCTGATTCATTTCTTACTCCCTTCCTCTATCTGGAAGGAACTACGCTTTTAAAAATCTGTATGCTACACAGTGCCAGATATATTTTTATGCCAATGCAATGAAAATGACTGTGCCTATTATTTCTTCTGTGAGGCATCTGAGTGGCTGAAGTTGGAAGCCAACATTCTCAGGAATCTTATTGAAATCAATGGGTCTGCTTTAGGACTGCTCTTGAGCAAGCAGGTTCATTGTGGCTTGAGTATGTTACTGCATTAGGTGGCACTTGATGTTCTAGCAATCTTGTTGCCTGCGTCTGGGATAAGTGCCACCACTTTTTTTAAGGAAGCCCAAAAGGTTGTTTCAGAATGATACTCAGTGGCAGTGAAACCCCCACCCTGCTATGCAATATGAATTTTGTTACACAGCCATCTTCTATATTTGTATTCATAGAATATGAATCTTCCCAGGGCTTTTTTTATAGAAAAAAGGTGCCAGTACTCCACCATGAAGTTGTTACAGTAAGTGCCACACTGGGGGGCGGGGGGAGAGTGCCAGTATTGCATACCCTCGAGTCTCCCCCCCCCCCAAAAAAAAGAAGCACTGAACCCTCCCATGTGAAATTTAGGGATTCAACAGACAACAGCAATACTGTGAAAGCAGGAGAAAGGTTACTCAGAAATAAAAAATCCCATTACCACCCTCATGTTCAAGGATAGAAACCTGTGTCTTCCAGGTGTTGTTGGACTCTGCCTCCTATCATTGCCTGTGCTGGCTCGTGTTTTGGGAGTTGGAATCCAACAAATGTGCCAAGTGCTGTGAACTGCCAAATTTAATAAATAATAAAAATAATAATACAATAGGAAAAAGTTATGTATATATTCAATAAAGAGCTTATGCAATAATATATATATATATTACTGACGCATGTGATTTCAGAATTCCACATGGCCATCCCTTACATGTGTAAAGAGACCTGATGCCCTCCAGCTATTTTTCATTCTAATACCCATCAGCCCTAGTCAGCACTGCCAGAGTTCAGGAATGATGGGATTTAGGGAAAGCCACATTACATGAGAGCTTAGTTGTGTGAAATAGTGTCTCTATATCGTCTTAGAAATATTTTTCTCTTCACAGTACTCTTTATTATTCACCACCAAAAGTTTTTTTCAGTGTACAAGGTCATTTGTAATTCATACCTCATTTATCACTGCAGTAACACTGTGAAGTAGTTACTAGTTCTTCACATGGACATAGTTTGAGTAAAGCAGCCTTCTCCAACCTCATGCCTTCCAGAGGTTTTGGACTGCAGCTTCCATAATCCCTGACTATTGGTCATTGGGTTGATGGTAGTTCTAGTCCAAGACATCTGGAGGGAACCGGGTTGGTAAAGGCTGGTTAAAGTGAGCATGCCCCTAAAAGCGGGGTGGGGGGAGAATGTCACCGCCAGTTGTGGCTCTATAGTGTGTCCTGTATGTTTACAGAAGTAAGTGGTCCCTCTAGTTACAAACTTAATTCGTTCCGGAGGTCCGTTCTTAACCTGACATTGTTCTTAACCTGAGGCGGGCTTTTGCTAATGGGGCCTCTTGCTGCTGCTGCGCTGCTGGCACACGATTTTTGTTCTCATCCTGAGGCAGAGTTCTCAACTCGAGGTAGCTCTTCCAGAGTTTGTAACCTGAAGTGTTTGTAAACTGAGGCATTTGTAACTTGAGGTACCACTGTACATATTCCCTTCAGAAATTACTAGTCTCTTCCATATGATATTCAGGTAGCATCTTTTAAAAATTAAAGTTAAAAAAAGACTGTCTGCCTGGTAAAATATGAAACGGACCTAAGGACCAAAGTACATCTGACAAATGGTTGCATTAAAGAAACAAAAACCTGAAGTATCCGAAGAGGACACTGCAAGTTTAAGTAAAGCAGTGAGGTGGAAGATCACCTGCTTAACCCATTTCCCTCCACCTGCTTATGCACCTCTAGCTACTTTTATATCTAAGCATGCTGGGGTGGGGGGCAGGGTGAGAAAGCGATAACCAGATTTCCCCTGTATCAGGAGAAATGCAGCCTGGCGGCAGTTTTGAGCAGAAAAACAGCTAGAGAAAACCAAACTTTATTCCTCTCAAACTGTTAGCCCCTTAAGGCCACTTCTAAGAAGTCAGGAGAAAGAGAAACAGGAGTGTGTGTTGCATCTAGTTTGAACCTAGGTTTAGTGACTGAACATTTGAATCTGGGTCTCACATCTTAAGTACAAGATGCTATCACTGTATGCAATGGTGGCTATAGTGGTACCTCGGGTTACGAACTTAATTTGCTCCGGAGGTCCGTTCTTAACCCAAAATCGTTCTTAACCTGAGGTGCACTTTCACAAATGGGGCCTCCTGCTGCCGCCATGCAAATTCCGTTCTCATCCTGGGGCAAAGTTTGCAACTCGGAGCAACTACTTCCGGGTTAGCGGAGTTTGTAACTTGAAGTGTTTGTAACCCAAGGTACCACTGTATATGAAACTTTGGCTCTTCCTGGCCTTGAAATTTCATGGATATGCATAATCTAAATCAGTCTTTTACTGTAGGGCTGCTAGCCAATTCTCAGGTCTCCACAAAAAGTAAATAGTGTGTTTCCTTTTGAATACATTAGGAAAGAGGAACTGTAGTCCCACTTACAGATTGGACATGCTGGAGGAAGCCTTGATGATTGGAAAACAAAGATCATAATGTGGGGAAGGAGCGAAATTAAGATCCTTTATCATTTCCTTCAGTATCCCCCCCCCTTATTGTACAAACCAACAAAAGCAATTGGAAGAAGCATCATTTGGCTGGAGTTGATCAAACGATCCCAAGTGCAAGATAAGTGACCCACAGATGCTGCTGCTGAGGTTAGCAACATGGTGTTAAGTTGTAAATGAGAGGGATAAACTGTAGAGACAATTGCCCTCAAGAGAGAGAAAGACGGAGGGGGGGGGGAGAAACTAAATCATACATTACTGTTAAAATGTGGAAAAGAGCAGGACTGCGAGAGTGTGGGGTGGGGAAAGGCGGAGGAACAGGAAACACAGGGAAAGGAAAAGAGTGAGAATCACACTCACGCACAAGGAGAGACGGAGAGAACGAAAGAGAGAAAATGAGCCATGCACTTACCCAGCAGCAGGAAGAAAAGCTTCAAACAGCTGAATATCCCCCTGCTTTCAATCCCTGCCTGCTGTTTTGCTAGCACGCCGGAGGCTACTATCTGTGTGTTATCTTAAAGGATGTGGAGCAAAGGCGAGTCTGAAGGGCTGCAGACTTTAGGAATTGTGGTGGTGATTTGCTCCTCTCTGAAACTTTTGCACTACCTTGGACTAATTGACTTGTCAGATGGTAAGAGACCCTGCAAAGTTCTACCAGCTTGTATACTTTTATGTATATTTTTAAAAAAAACTATAGTAGCAATCTGAAAGAAATCATAATTTAAAGCACCTTTCTCCTTTTTCCTACGTACTGCTTTTTCTCTCCTGCTTGATTCAGCAGTGTGGAAATTTTGCTTTGTTTTGCTGCTTGCTAGCTTCCGGAATTCCAGTTGAGGGGTATTTTTACATTTTGTTCTTGAATTACAAAGCTAGTCTCCTCCTGTAAATACTGTTTTACCATAAATGTAGTTCCTGTTTGGTGGAATATGCCTCTCTTGGGATAACTGGAAATAGTCTCATTCTTAAAAACTGTTGGGTTTACTCAATGCTTGCTGGATGGAAGTAGTTGCTGCATAACTGCTTGAGCCTAACCACATTTACTTATAAGTAAGCCCCAGTCAGTGCAATAGTGTCCTATTAAAGTGCACAAGTGAAATCCTTATTAGTGCATTTAGATACAAACTTAATTTTAGAAGCTTTAAAAAGCAAGTGATAAATGGAAAAATAGAAACTATACTCCATAAACTAAGATTTCTTTCCTTTTGTTTGAAAAAGATTAGAGTTTGGTTTGATAGTATCTGGCAATAGGAAAACAGTTCGATTCTACATATTTAAAGGAAGTTTAGCAGCCAAGACTTTGTATTTCAGGATGTTGTCATAAAATTCATTAAAAAGCTGATAATTTCTTGAATCAATTGCTTGACATGTAAAATGTAAAAGTAAGGTGAGTAAGCTATCCCTCCCAGAGTTTATGAAGTCCTTTTGACATACTGACAAATAAATATGGTCATTTTACCTTAGCCAGAACTTGTTTGAAATGAAGTCTGCACTAAAGGCAGTGTTTTCATCACTGTGAGGTTTACTAATAATGTATAAAGCAAGAATCAAATAAGAAATCAATGTTTGAGATATATATACAAACATATTGGCTGAGGCTGCAATCCTACACATGCTTCCTTGGGAGTAACCCCAATAAACTGACTGGGACTCTGCACTGTTTCAAGTTTTGTCCCTTTTGTTGCTCTAGAAGAACACTGACAGCAGCACCTAAATTAAATCTATTCTGATATTGGGCTCCTTGCAGGTAAAAAGTTGCCATTGGTGACAAGAAATTAAAATGTCAGCCAATGTTCTATAGATTTTTTTACAGTTATTACATAGCTATATTGCTGATTACATATCATCTGAGTCTTCCCATTTTAAGCATGATTATAGGTCAATTTACCCTGATATGTAATGAAATCCAGTGAGATGTCTTCCCAAAAAAAGCACCCCAGCACCATCAAGTAACCATCAAAGTAGATGGTATCAAGAAAGGGACTCACCTCAGTGTACTATGGAGGAAAGGGAAGCAGTATGAAATTCTGCATCAGCTTGCATTTGCAGTGCCATCCATGTGAGTGCAAGAATTCTTTTCTGCTTGCTCTTCGCTGTAATTCCGACTGTGAACTTCTGCTGTTTTCAAGAAGATAAATCACTTGTTTTGTATGAGCAACACGGTCCTAGAAAAATCGAATTGCTATAATCAATTTGTAGTGGAAGCTCTAGCATCGTACAATATCAGACCTTTATAAAGTGTACTCAAGACTATAATAGTGTTTTAAAACCATTTACTGGGCTCCTGTCATTATAAAATCCTGGATGAGATGAACATTTGGCACAAGTTTTTGTTTTGTTTTAGCTAACCTATCATGCAGTGGCACCGTTCAACTTCATTCAAGTACTGCAATGTTATCTGTATTAAATCTTTGCAGTAAGCAGTGCACGCTAATCCAGCTTCTCTCTGTGCTAATGGACTGCATCTCTTCTGCAGCTTTGGTTGTTAATTGCTAGTGCCTTTTGGGCTGTAAAACTATCCTCCTAGGACATGGCAGCTTGTTGTGTAAAATGCTGCTAAATAGCTTTAAAGTTCTGAATTTATTTTCCCTTGGGCCCATCAAAACCCCCAACTGAAGGAACTCAGATCCATGTCAATTACTCAAAACAGCACTTACCATCTCCTGAAATAACCTTGCTTGCTATGATGTCACATGAGAAAGTAAATTAATCCTCTAGGCTTTGAGAGTCTTCTAGGTATGACCACCAGCTCTTTCTTTGACCTCCTTGGGGGGTGTGTGTGTGTGATTCTGATGGGGAACAGGTGGCAAACTGTACAAAAAATAAAGTTGGTTGTGTGTGGTTACTGTGGGCTTAATCATAAAGAGGAATGCCATTCTCATATGTTTCCCTTGTAGATATGACTAATTCTGAAGGGCCAAGTTAAATGCAACACCATACATAAAATCAGCAGTGGCATAAAATATTTTGCAAGTGTAAACAGCAGTAAATCTAGTGTCAAGGAGCAACCCAATGAGCGACCCAACTGGCACCTTGGTGGAGGATGGAGGGGCTTTACTGCTCCAGGATAGGACCCACACCTCTGTTATTTTCACTGATAAGGAAAGTTGTAAGTTAAACTTGGAAGCTTTCCTTCCAGTACAAATAGCAGATGCAGGCTCCCCAATTTGGATTGGAACCATAAAGCATTCAAGCCCCTCTCCCACCCACTCACAACCTCAATCTAGATTGGGGACGTGGGCTGTAGTTGCTACTTACACTTTAAAAACCACTCATGCAATTCCTGTTTGTGTGACTTTTGCACAACTTAGTGATGTTGGATAGTTGTTGGCATCTGTCTGTCTCAGGATACAATGGAGGAGGGCACCTTTGGGGTTAAAGTCAAACTTTTGGAAGGTTACAGCGCCTGCTGTGGCTGTAGAGACCAACATGGGAGATACGTCTTTTATTGCAGCTGGGGCAGATGAAGGAGTCCAGTTGTGCTACTGCTGATGCACTTTGATGTTTCTACTCTGCGCTTCTCCCAGCAGCCCTCCTCTGCTATGGAAGCACAACCTGACTGTCTCCAGGCACTGTAGTCATCTGCAAGAGATTCCCATATGGCGGGGTTGATGTTGCCAGCCTTCATGTCACATTTGAAGAAATCATTGTAACGCAAAGTTGTTCTGTCAATGGGTCTGGTGCCTGAAGCCAGCTCCCTCTAGACTCTAGAGTAAGTGTGGCCCTACAAAATCCAGCTAATCCAATAACATGCATAATGTTCCTTGTAATGTAGCAGTAAGATGAGACTAACAGAAAAATAGAAAGTACACACCAAGTGTGCTAGATTCACCAGATGGTTTGTACAACATTTAAAAACTAAGACTTATAATGTTAAAAGCAACCTTGTACTAGAAAGGTTATCATTGTAAAGCAATTTTATATATACGTTATGTGGATAAAGGGAGTTGCATTTCAACAACATCTGGAAGACACTAGGTTCTCCACCCCTGCTATAGAAAAACCAACCTGAGAAAGGATAAGCATGGCTTCTACACTGTCTTGCCAACCTTTTAAGAAATTCCTTAGGCAAATTGGCTTAGTTTTTTTAATTGTTTTTATTAAAGATTTTCTTGGGTTACAAAAGTACAGACAACATTTCTGCTTTCAATTCTTGGATCCTTTCTACAGATCAGTTACATTTGATGTGAGACACTAATGTTATAGACAGTATAAGTTTGGGGGAGGAAAGGGGTGGTAAGAGAGAGCAAGGAAAATAGAAGGGGGATAGTAAACTTTCATTCTTTTACATATTGGCTTAGTTGACTTTGTGTTTTAAATTTTTGTTTTGCTTTAAATGAATCTGCTGGTTTTTGTGTTTTTTGCTGTATTTTGCTGCTTATAATGTACATCACCATGAGGCAATCGTGGAGAAGGTGATTAATAATCATAAGAATATCATGCAAATTGCAATGGTTGTTAATAATGACAAGCAGGATCTGCAATGAAGTGCTGCTGTGTATCTTCACCCACTAGGGTAAGTGTTTCTATCTTCAGAAAACCTGAAACAGGAGCTTTATAGTGCTGTTCAGGCCTCTTGCATTTCTGGAATGGAAAGGACACCCCCAACCCTAATTTTTCCCACCCCCACCAAGATACTTACTAGAAGCAACTTAAATCCCCCTCCTCCACCGCCCTCCATTTTTCTTTTGTTTTACTTTTTTTGGTTTCGTTTTAGTTGGCACAGGTAGATTCCAAACATCCAGTGTCTCCAATTGCTCTCTGTCGTAGACTTGATAGACAGAAGCACACAGTCCACCTGACTTCTAGATTCTTTGCTCCCCTGGCTCACTGGAATTTCAACTGCCATCAACATTCTGTAAACTCACTGTTTCCTGTGAGGTAGCTTTCCAGTTTTCATGTAGGTTTTCTGAACAGCCGTAGCTCAATGGTAGAGAATCTGCCTTGCTTGCAGAAGGCTCCAGCTTCAATGCCTGGCATCTCAAGGTAGGATATGAGAGACCCATTGCCTAAAACCCTGGACAACCACAGCCAATCAGTGTAGGCAATACTAAGCTAGATGGACCAATGGTTTGACTTGGTATAAAGCAGGCTCCTATGCTCCCACGTGTCTTTTAATTTTCCAGCTTCCATATTTTGCATATCTAGGGCATCTCCTGAGTATACAGAAACAACTAGCTTACTTTTGGTGTGGTACTATTTCACTCCAGAATGCTAGACACTAAACCACCAGAGTTTGCTCTTACAGAGAATGATAACTAAATGAACTTTCATCTTTCAAAGTTCATACAAAGTTCATACAAGAGATTTGCAAGATGCTGAAGATAAACAAGGAATGATCTTCACCTTTATACTCTGCCTGTGTGGTCACAGACCCTGTGCAATAAGATCCATAACAGTCACATTCACAATCACACAGTACTCACAATCACAACATACATATTACTGAGGAGAAGAATACTGCACTTTGCTGAGAAGCTGAAATATCTCAGCAATACAAGTTCTAGTTTGAGTTGAATAAAGATGACTGGATCCCTGAACAAAACGAGTGTGCTTATTCTGCTAAAAGGAATCACACAGAGAGCTTCCCTTCCCCAATCTTAATTAATGATTAATCTAATGAACTTTTTTCTGAACATGTTTCCTTTTGATGTGATATTTCAAAGGACTTTCTGGGTGTGGTAAGTGCATGTGGGAGTGTGTTCAGAAGAAATGTTGATTATGCAAAATGAAAAGGTAAGGAGAAGTCACCTTGTGGAGGCTTCAAAATCAATATGAGAATTGTGCCTCTGTCCTGCTGACACAAGAAATTCAGTTTTACTGAATTGTAGATTGGGCTGCTAGTGATTTAAAATAGCAAACTGACAGTCAGGGACATTCAGACCAAAAAATGCATAATTAGACAATCCATTTTATTTTATTGTTCCTCTGAACAGCTCTGCCTGATGAAGGCCCTCCTGTTGAGATTGAAAAGCCTGCAACTCTAAAGAAATATAAATGATCTCTAATCAAATATAACACTTTATAGCATTCTATATACCATCCTATTGAGCTAAAATGGAATAGCGGTGACCATTAATGTAATGGTGAAGGCTTATGGAATCAAGAATAATTTACTTTTTCATTCTATCCCAGTCTATCATTCTACCCAGTCCCCATTGAAGAAGTCTATGAACTTCCCGGATTTGACGATCTAAGCTACATCTTCTGAATATCTGCCCTTTGAAACCATTTGTAGTAGAAGATAACCCAGGAACTCAAATACTTTTAAAGTCTGTTTGACCAAAGGTGATAATAGCATGGTAGAAGTATTAGGTGAACACCAAAGGAAGCCAAATTTGATTGGCTAAATAGCATAAAGACATAATTGTCTTCACTGTAGGATCTCTTATTGGATGGGATTGTTTATGTGACTATTCCCAGGAAAAGAAGACCTAATAATTGTAAGGAAAAAATAGTACCAAACCAAGATCAGATCAAGGAACATGAAAAGAAAGGATTGAAAAAAGGTGAGCATTCAAGTCTCTTATAATCTATTGCATCTCTTCTTCCATAATCTTACCCTTTTTCATAAGCAGGATATAATTTTTCTCTTGTTGGTTCATTGTTGTTGTTGTTTAGTCGTTTAGTCGTGTCCGACTCTTCGTGACCCCATGGACCAGAGCACGCCAGGCACCTCTGTCCTCCACTACCTCCCGCAGTTTGGTCAAACTCATGCTGGTAACCTCGAAAACACTATCCAACCATCTCGTCCTCTGTCGCCCCCTTCTCCTTGTGCCCTCCATCTTTCCCAGCATCAGTGTCTTCTCCAGGGAGTCTTCTCTTCTCATGAGGTGGCCAAAGTACTGGAGCCTCAGCTTCACGATCTGTCCTTCCAGTGAGCACTCAGGGCTGATTTCCTTAAGAATGGATGCGTTTGATCTTCTTGCAGTCCATGGGACTCTCAAGAGTCTTCTCCAGCACCATAATTCAAAAGCATCAATTCTTCGGCGATCAGCCTTCTTTATGGTCCAGCTCTCACTTCCATACATCACTACTGGGAAAACCATGGCTTTAACTATACGGACCTTTGTTGCCAAGGCGACGTCTCTACTTCTCAAGATGCTGTCTAGGCCTGTCATTGCCCTTCTCCCAAGAAGCAGGCGTCTTTTAATTTCGTGGCTGCTGTCACCATCTGCAGTGATCATGGAGCCCAAGAAAGTAAAATCTCTCACTGCCTCCATTTCTTCCCCTTCTATTTACCAGGAGGTGATGGGACCAGTGGCCATGATCTTCGTTTTTTTGATGTTGAGCTTCAGACCATATTTTGCGCTCTCCTCTTTCCTCGTTAAAAGGTTCTTTAATTCCTCCTCACTTTCTGCCATCAAGGTTGTGTCATCTGCATATCTGACGTTGTTGATATTTCTTCCGGCAATCTTAATTCCAGTTTGGGATTCATCCAGCCCAGCCTTTCGCATGATGTATTCTGCATATAAATTAAATAAGCAGGGAGACAAAATACAGCCTTGTCGTACTCCTTTCCCAATTTTGAACCAATCAGTTGTTCCATATCCAGTTCTAACTGTAGCTTCTTGTCCCACATAGAGATTTCTCAGGAGACAGATGAGGTGATCAGGCACTCCCATTTCTTTAAGAACTTGCCATAGTTTGCTGTGGTCGACACAGTCAAAGGCTTTTGCATAGTCAATGAAGCAGAAGTAGATGTTTTTCTGGAACTCTCTAGCTTTCTCCATAATCCAGCGCATGTTTGCAATTTGGTCTCTGGTTCCTCTGCCCCTTTGAAATCCAGCTTGCACTTCTGGGAGTTCTCGATCCACATACTGCTTGAGCCTTCTTTGTAGAATTTTAAGCATAACCTTGCTAGCGTGTGGTTATGTTGGTTCATATGAAGCCATAAAATATTTTTGTCAGCAGAC